TAACATCACCACAAATGAACATCACATAAAATTCAATGAACAATAATATCCAAGCCACAATTCCTCTAACTACATTAATACTCACATTTTCATCTCTCCATTGTTCACAATGTTTCACAAGTCAAGAGAAATTCCATTCCATGTAGTGATTTCTACTCAATTTGGGTAATTTAGGGTTTTACCTAATTTGGGGATTTTTCTTCATTATCACCAATTACATTCATGTTTAAAAAAAAAAGGTAGAGAAATTCCAAACAAAATGTGAAGCAAAAAGGTTTAGCATGTGAAATAAAGGTTTAAACTAACAAAATCCTCAAATTAGTTCACAAATCACACACAATGCCAAGAAGTCCCCTCAATAATGAAGAAATACAAAGGTAAAAGTGTCCCTACCTCAAGGATCGAGCGAAATCCAAGCTCCTACAAGAATCTTCCATAAAACCACAATCCAATCGGTAGATAATGAAAATATTCAAGTGTGTTTTCGCCCCTAACAAGCAATTTTGGATGGATTTCAAAGATATGCGAGGTATTTGGTGGTAGGGTTTCATAAAGAGAGAAAGAGGAGACGGAAGATAGAACAAAAGAGATGAGAGAATGATCTAGAATCATCGTATTTAAAAAAACTGATATCGCATTCCCCGCTCGAGCGTGGCTTCCTACGCTCGAGCAACCAGTCACAATCAAGAAGGCTCGCTCGAGCGACAACTTCTTCGCTCGAGCGGAGAAAAAGAAACCTCAGAAGTTATGCAGCGCTACAGTGAAACTACTAGAAGCTAACGTTTCACGCTCGAGCGGACACGCCTGCAATGCAACAAAATGCTAGGAGCAACAATTCTACGCTCGAGCGGCGGCTTCCCGCTCGAGCAGCCCTAAAAACAAAAATGTTACAGAAACTCAACACTATGAAAAGATTATTCCTATGTTTATTAGTGCTCTATTTATCTATAGCAAATGGAAAATATAGGAAGTGATGATACGATTGAATCCTCTAAAGCCCAAATGAACCGAATGGAACGAATGTTGAAGGCCTTGACAGAATTAATGAGACAATAGCCTTTGCCTCCTCCACCTTCTCCAGTGCAATTTGAGCCAATGAACAATGACATTATCAATTTGACTCAAAAATATAACAAGATGAAGCCACCAACTTTTATGGGTGGTATAGAACCATTGAAAGCTGAAACATGGATGTTAGAAACTGGGAAATTATTTGAAGTGTTTTTGTGCTCCGAAACTCAAAAAGTATTGTTGGCTACTTATAGTTTAAAGAAAGAAGCTCGTCGTTGGTGGATGTTAATTCGAAATGACAACGGGTCCATGACTTGGAATCAATTCAAAGAAATATTTTTTGAAAAATACTTTTCTCAGTGCTTTAGGGACCGAAAGGTGTTAGAGTTTGAACAACTGAAGTAAGACAATATGTCTGTAGCAGAGTATTAGGCTAAATTCACCGAGCTAGCCCAATTTGCACCTCACATGGTTGACACGAACTGCAAGAAAGCTCAAAAATTTGAAGGAGGGCTTAATTTGGATGTGTTTGATTGGGTAGGTGTATTGAAATTGCCTAAATATATGGATTTGCTTAACCGAGCACTAATGACAGAAGCTAACTTGGCCTCTATGAAACAAACTAAAGTTTCAACAATTGAATGGAGGAGCAAAAGATCCGGGGTACAATTTTAGAAAGGGTCACTCATTTGCATTGAATAAGAAGCAAAACATGAGGTCTACTAGCGTCTCAAGTCAAAGTTCTAAATGTGGAAGGAGACATAAGGGTGTCTATTATCATACAACCGGTGCTTATTTCTGATGTGGCAAAACTGGCCATATAATAAAAGATTGTTTGCTTGGATCCAACAATGTCAACCATCCCACGGCAAGTTCAGCTGGATTCGCTTCTGCACCAAGATCGAATGTGAGAACCAATACTAGGAGAGAAACTTTAAGGCAGGGTCAAGTATTTGCACTTGTGCCTGAGAATGTGCAGAATATTGACTCAGTGGTGTCAGGTATAATTCCTATTTGTGCTCAGAATGCTTATGTGTTGATAGATTCTGATTCTACGTATTTCTTTGTATCACATGATTTCTCACGGAAGTTGACTAGACCCTTAGAATCTATGAATTATCTATTATTTGTTTCTACACCGTCTAAGGGTTCTATGGTATGTACTTATGTTTATCCAACATATTATATTGTGATTGGTGATATGATATTATATGTTAACCTACTGCCTTTGAGTCTTGATCATTTTGACTGTATATTGGGAATGGATTGGTTGACCAAGTATCATGCCACTATAGATTGTGTGAATAAATTTGTTGTGTTCCGGCCGCCTGGGTTGCCTGAGTTTGTGTTTACTGGGAAAGGGGTAGTTCCTCCTCCATATTTGATCTTTGTAATGAAAGCTAATAAACTGTTGAGAAATGGGTGTTATGATTATTCGTGTTGTATATTGACTGTGCCACAAATAGCACTAATGTAGAGAATATCCCTGCAGTCAATGAATTTCCCAATGTGTTTCCAAGTGAACTACTCGGTGATTTGATTGATAGAGAAATTGAAATTACCATTGAAGTCTTACCTGGAACACAACCTATCTCCAAAACCCCTTTCAGAATGTCAACTTCTAAATTGAAAGTATTGAAAACCCAACTACAAGAACTGTTAGACAAGAAATTTATCTGTCTGAGTACTTCACCTTAGAGTACTCCAGTTTTGTTTGTTAAGAAAAAAGATGGGTCTTTGAGGTTATGTGTTAACTACCGAGAATTGAAAAAAGTAACTATCAAGAATAAATATCTACTGCCCTGAATAGATGATTTATTTAACCAACTTCAAGGAGCCTAAGTGTTTTCAAAAATAGACCTTAGATCCGGCTATCACCAATTGAAAGTTAAGATAGAAGACATTGAGAAAACAGCTTTTCGAACAAGATAAGGACACTATGAGTTTTTGGTGATGCCATTTGGGGTAATCAATGCACTTGCTACTTTTATGGATCTAATGAATAGGGTTTTCAAACCATATCTAGATGAATTTTTTGTTGTATTTATTGATGAAATTCTAATTTATTCTAAAAGTATGGAAGATCATGAAAATCATTTGAAAATTGTACTACAAACTCTGAGGGAAAGGAAACTGTATGCTAAATTGTCCAAATATGAGTTCTGGTTTGATAGTGTGACCTTTTTGGAACATGTAATCAATAAGGAGGGCCTATCAGTGAACCCGTAGAAAATTGAAGCCATTGTGAACTGGCTAAGACCAATAAATGTATCAAAAGTTATAAGTTTTCTGGGGTTCGCTAGCTATTACAGAAGATTTGTAAAAGACTTCTCCAAACTTGCCATGCCATTGACATAGTTGACACAGAAAAATGTACCATTTGATTGGAATGACCAAAGAGAATTTGTTTTCAAAGAGTTGAAGACCAGATTAGTGATTGCAGCAATTTTGACTTTGCCTAATGGTACTAATAGGTTCCAAATCTACAGTGATGCTTCATATAAAGGCTTAGGATGTGTGCTAATGCAAAACGGAAAGATAACTGCCTATGCTTCTCGGCAACTCCGCCCACATGAAAATAATTACCTGACCCATGACCTAAAACTTGCAACTATAGTGTTTGCTTTAAAAATCTAGCACCATTACTTATATGGGGCAACTTGTGAGGTGTATACTGACCATAAAAGCCTAAAATACTTCTTCACCCAGAAAGAACTAAACATGAGACAAAGAAGATGGCTTGAGTTGATTAAAGATTATGATTTACAAACTCTATATCATCTAGGAAAGGCGAATGTAGTTGCAGATGCTTGGAGTAGAAAATCCATTGGGAATTTAGCATGTTTGCTTACCGGTCAAGAAGAATTATTGTATGAGTTGGAAAGAACTGAAATTGAGATTATTTTACTTGAACATGGTGGAATTCTAACTACCATTTCTGCTCAGCCGGCCATAATTGAGGAAGTTAAAGAAAAACAATTAGAAAACAAATTGCTGAAAAAGATCGTGGAAGAAATTGACTCTAAACCGAAACTAGGATTTACAGTTGAAACTGACGTGTTAAAATTTCAAGGTAGGCTTTGTGTACTGGATTGTTCAGAGTTGAGAAAGCGTATTTTGACAGATGCCCACAGTTCCAAATTTGCTATGGATCCGGGAAACATGAAAGTGTACAAAGATTTAAAACATAATTTCTGGTGGCTTGGCATGAAGAAGTGTATTGCTGACTTTGCAGCTAAATGTCTGCACTGCCAACAAGTGAAAGCCGAACATCAACAACCCATTGATTACTTCAGCCACTTCCAATACTGAAATGGAAATGGGAGCACATCACGATAGACTTCATTGTCAGTCTACCTCGTTCTTCAACAGTTATGGACCCTGTTGGGGTTATTGTTGATCGTTTGACTAAATCTGCTCACTTTTTACCTGTTAAAACCTTTTATAATGCGGACAAATTGGCTAATATTTATGTGAATGAGATTGTGAGATTGCACGGAGTGCCAGTATCCATTGTGTCTGATAGAGACTCAAAGTTTACTTCAAGATTTTGGCAGAGTTTATAATAGGCTCTAGGGACTGAATTGAGGTTGAGTCAAGCATACCACCCACAGACGGATGACCAATCTGAACGAACCATTCAAACCTTGGAAGATATGCTCAGAATGTGTGTATTAGATTTCCAAGGAAATTGGAAAACTTATCTGCCACTAGCTAAGTTTGTGTACAACAACAGCTATCATGTAAGTATTGGTATGGCTCCTTATGAAGCTTTGTACGGAAGAAAATATTGATCCTCGATTTGTTGGGCCGAAGTAGGCGATAGACCGTTATTGGGACCGAAACTCGTGCAAGAAACAACTGAGAAAGTGAAATTGATTCAACAACGTCTGAAATCCACCCAAAGTCGCTAAAAGAGTTATGCAGATGTTCAGAGAAGAGACATAGAATATAAAGTAGGCGACCATGTGTTCATCAAAGTAACTCCTATGAAAAGCCAGACACAATTTGGGGTTAAAGGCAAATTGGCACTGCGATATATTGGCCCGTATGAAATCATTGAGAAAATAAATTCGATGACGTATCAAGTGGCCTTACCTCCAGCTATGGAGAATATGCACAATGTTTTTCATGTCTCAATGCTTCGGGATTATTTGAGAGATCTGTTACATGTGATTGAGCTAACTCATGTGCTTCTTAAATATGATTATACTTACGAGGAACGACCAATCCAGATTGTTAACGAAAGAATCAAAAGATTGAGAAACAAAGAAATTCCATTGGTGAAAGTAGATTGGCAAAATCATAGAGGGACGCATGTGACTTGGGAAACAGAAGAATATATGATGAAGATATATCCAGACCCTATGTTCTTCCAAAATAAAAGTAATTCGAGTTTGGAGGACCAAATTCTTTAAAAGGGGAAAACTATAACAACCCCGACCTGTAATTAGCCTATAATTCTTAATTAAGAATGCTTACAAAGGAATTAAGACGAAATTACGAATTAATTGTGCATTCTATGTGTTATTTGAGTCTATATATGTTCATAATAGACATATTTTTTTGTATTTCTGTTTCAGTATGCAAATCGAAGGCCTTATTAGCATGCGATCATGAAATTAACTCGATTTATGTGTTATTTGGAATTTTTAGAACATGATGGTGAGTTTAATCGAAATTCGATTCAGAACCAAATAATTAGAATTAATAATTACAATTTGGCTAGTTTAAGCCAAGCTTGATTAGCCAACACTAAACCAAGCCTATATAAGGCTGAAGTGACTTCTAGATTACATTACACCCTCATTTCATCATTTTTAAGACACCAAACGTAGGGAGAGAGAGAGAGAGAACTTGGGAGATTGAGATCAAAGATTAGAAAAGGGGAAATAGAAAGGAATTGGTAGAAGACTTGGAGAATTAAGCTTAAACACCTTGAGATCATACTCTAGGTATGAGTTTCTTTTCTAATTCTTGTACATAAAACCTATGGAAGATGAATTCATGAGTTGGGTAGGAGTATTTACATGAGATTGAAGAAAATATGTTAGGATCACCTTAATTATGTAAGAATCAAACACATTGTACACATGCATGTGCATTTCATACGATTTTAAGGATGTTTTCCAAGAGATTTCCTCATGATTTTAGCTTGGTTTTGAGAATTTATCACATTTCATGACATTTCATCTCAATTGATCATGTTTTGGAAGGTTGGAGTTCATATCATTGCATGCATGTTATGTTTTCAAAGTTTCAAGAGTTGTTTTGAATAATTCACTTGTTTTTGGGCCTTAATTTTGCGAAATGGCTTTCAATTCATGATGGTACACAAGTTTTAAACATGTTTTCTCAAGTTTTGGGCCTAAATGATGTGTTTTTAAGCTTTGGATTTGAGTTTTGCATCTTGAACAGCAATTTGAAAATTCTAGAATTCTGCATCATTGCTTGAGCGACCAAAGATGCGTTCGAGCGACCACCCTTTGTTTTGTACCTTGGCTCAAGTGACACAAAGTTGACTCGAGCGTAAAATTCATGCTCCCAGTACTTTTGTAGACATAGGCCTTGGCTCAAGCGACAGAACCTACGCTCGAGTGACCACCCTTTGTTTTCCATCTTGGATCGAGTGACCAAGCTCTTTGCTCAAGCATAAAATGAGAGCTCTCAAAAGTTTTGCAGACCAAAGGGTCTGCTCGAGCGACCAAAGTTGCACTCGAGCGAACTGCCCTATTTTTTAAAATTTGACTAAGTGTTTTAACTTACATTTTGGCATCCTCATTGCATCTTAGGCATTCCTAAGCCTTAATTAAGACATAATATTGAGGATAAGGATTAGAAACACACTTAGATAGAAAAGGAATGAGTTAAGTGTTTTCTGAAAGTGTGTTTCAATGTGTATCCGTTATGTGTTTGTGTAAGTCAAACGCCATAGACTGTCTGATCTGTTTGCTCTGTCTGTTTTGCTACTGGAGCTATCTGTAAGTAATAACTCTGTAAAACTATGTTCAACTTTAAGTATTTGCTAAATGATATGATATGATCTATTTTTTGAAATGCTATTTTATGATTAAATGAATGATTATCCAACTTTTTGAAATGTATTCGTGGCATTTTTAGCACCATGTGATATCTGTTATCTATTACCTAGTACTAGAGATTCCAATATGGAACTGGTTAAGCATAACCATTATTTGCTCTGTATCCGTTATGTATATGTCCCTTTATGGGTCATTTGGTCCCTTTATGGGTTTTCTGTTATGTTAGTGCTAATGGATGTACCATGTATGTGAATTCTGAATATGAATATGAATCTGTTTTTGACTCTGAACTTTGATTTCTGATTCTGTTACGGACAACATTCATTAAAACCTTTACTCTATTATTATTCGTTGGGCTCTAGGTCATTATATTATTTATGAATGTAGGTGACCAGACGCGTGACCAAGCTTAGTAATGATTGCCTGGAGTTCTATTTTGTTAGCCAACAATAGTGGCTCCCGAGGAGGTTCTTGAGTTAAAGTGTGGTCATGTTTCTGCAAATAAGTTTTAAGTTTTTCTTTTCTTTTGTTTGTTTCAACGGTTTTTGTATACTCTATATTTAGGGCTAAGTCCATTTCTACTGTATATGTATTTGTGCCGTAAGACCAATGTAAATATGACGTCTCATATATGTATATAAGTTTTAAATTTTCAGTCCCGTGTATGTCTACACAGCTCTATGGACATTGTATTTAATACTTGCTTCCGCTAGCCCCTTAATTTTGCTTCATCTGTTCAGAGGCCTTCGGTAATCCCAGGATTACTGGCCGGTTATGGCGCTAAACCTATAAGGGCGGGTTTGGGTCGTGACACATAGAGAGATAAAGAGCGAGATTGAGAGGTCGAGAGGGTTCATACTACAATTTCCTTGTTTAATCTCAAAAGTGAGTAGTAGATTACCTTTTTCTTTTTCTACTTTTTTGCTAAGGCGACTATTCCTGTGTCCTGTGGACTTGTTTGGATATGAATTTGGACCACTTGAAGTCTCACGTAGATCATGTCCTGCCAAATGCTGGTACAAGTTGAAGTTTTTTAACTCTTCGAAATCGACGAATTTCAAATTCTACAGCTGAAAATCAAATTAATCATCTCGAACAATAGATCATTTTCCATCATTTATGAAATAATAACGATCTCAATATAGTCGGCAAAAGTGAATACCAATCCAAAAATGCATACATGTTATGAAATGACTCATATTGCTTGATTTCCAGTTTAATATTCAACTCAAACAACAAATCAATAAAAAATCAAACATGCAATCTTCTTCCTTTTCCCCCCCCCCTTTGTTTGGTAGATAAAATTGAAATCAAAAAGGGGGGGAGGGACTTGAGTGAGTTAGGAGACAAGAGAGTCATGATTGTGAACATCGGAAGCGAATGAGTAACAATCAACTCTACCAAAAGAGGAAGAGAAGAGGTTGAAGTTGGATTTGACAGTGAAGATGACAGAATCGAGGCTGTCGTCTCGAGGTCTAAATGCGGATGATCTCTGCTGGTTGTGATCATCAAACCCTAGTAGCTCTGGCATTGTTGTATGTTGCTTCTCATCACAATCTTAGAGAGAGAGAGAGAGAGAGAGAGAAGGCAAGAGGGAGAGAGAGAGAGAGAGACCATGGCAAGCGAGAGTGACAGAGATCTCTATTTGTGAATTGTCAGGGGTTAGGGCATAGAAATAAGGAAAAGGCAAAATAAATAGTAAAAGAAAAAAATATCAAGCTTGCAGTTGCAAATATTATTTTTTACGACGGTAAAATAATCAGTAGCAAAAAAATTAATAGCAAAAAGCCACTTTTCTAGTAGTGCAAATTTGTATTTTTCTGTAGTGAATCTATTGATTAAGAGAATGATTCTCCCTTTTGGGTGCTGACAATTTTTGTGTGTTCTATCATTAATACTCTAAATCAATGGACCACTTGCTCCTTTTCTACCACTTCTCCTGGTCAGTCTGGTCAGCCATCCTTCTTTGGTTGGAAATCAAAAGGGTTTGCGTATTTACAATTGCATCTTTCTCCTCTTGGTGGTTTAACTTTAGCTTTATAAGCCTAAGCCTTGAGAGAATCATCTGGGAGGTTGGGAAACTTTGTTTATAAGCATCACTTGGAACATCTAGCTTATACAAGGAACAACCTAATCTTTAATAGTATTCAAATGTGCTCGGATAAACTCATTGATGATATTAAATTGTAGACAACCTTTTGAACCACATCAAATTCAAGCTATTTAGATTTCTCAGTCCATGACTTCATGTTTAACATTCATGAAGTCTGGAATATCACATCCAAAAGGAGATATTCCTTTCTTTCTTGAGTTGCTGCTTCGATCTTGGGATGATTTAGTGTTGCTTTGCTCTAGTCTGGGGCGTCCCTTTGGTCTTTCTCTTTATTGTGTTTTAGTATTTTAGCTTGGCTCCTTGCCTTCTATCCATTCAGTGTTTGCTCAGGGGTACATGATTTTGTTTGCTTTTAAGTACCAACCTAATTGGGCAGCATTTGTTCAAACTATATATGATGATCTTTACCCTCAACTGTTGCCACGATGTAACCTTTTCACAATGTATTAGTTAGCTTTTGATAAAACTCTCTCTAGAATGAACTATTATTTTGTAATGAATTTAACTTATATTGATCTTGAATTTTTTCGCTTATACCTTACAACTAACTAGATACATGAATATAATCTAAACAATGAATCTAATAAATATAAAACACATTAATATAAAAATACATAAATACAAAGAATACATGAACCCAATGTATCCAATGTAAATATGGCATTAATTTTAACACTCTTACTTAATGCCATATTATGTGACACCCAATGTATCCAATGGTGAAGATGTCCGCAACTAGATCTTCAGTCTTGCAATACTTGATTTAAATCTCATCATCTTCCACAGCTTCTCTAATGAAATGATATTTGATAGCAATGTGTTTGATACGAGAATGATAGAAGGGATTCTTTGTCATAGCAATAGCAGACTTGTTATCACACATAATTGAAGTAGCTTCACCTTGCTTCTCACCAAAATCATCCAAAATTCTTCTTAGCCAAATTGCTTGTGTAGTTGCCAATGATGCTGAAATATATTTGGTCAGTGGATGATTGTGCAACAGTTTGTTGTTTCTTGGATGACCATGAAAAATTACGCCCGATCCAAGAGAAAATGCATACCAAGAAATGCTTCTCATATCATCAACATATTTGGCCCAATCACTATCACAAAATCTAAGCAACTTTGCATTAACAAATTTCTCATAAAAAATTCGATAATCAAATGTATCTTGAATGTATCTTAACACTCTTTTTACAACCCCAAAATGAATTTTGCTTAGACTGTGCATAAACCGAGACAACAAAATTGTAGGATACATGAT